AATTTTAGGGTATTATTATTTTTTCATCATTACTAATACTATCATCATCATTACCATCATTATTTTTTTTTATACTTTCTTATTATTATCATTATTATTATTATTATTGTTATGACAAGGTCAAAGAGGATTACCTGTCTAAGATAACCACTTCTCTCTTCAACGATGGTAGATCGGCTTGGAAAGTTTCAGAGGTGTTATTCAATTAATTGGTTAATTTTGTTTAAAAGCAATTCTTAAAGTTTTACCTAATATTATAATTATGCGAAGTATCTACTGTCTTTTTTCCCCTCTACCCTAACCCTAACCTCTCCCTTCCTCGTTGTTGTTGTTGTTGTGTTTTTTCCCTAGTAATATACTCCTTTTAGATCCTAAATCTCTGATTCAATCTTTGGTTACTAGCTCGTGTAATACGTCGATTCTGATAACATCTTAAGCCGGCCGCTCTCATGACCTCCAACTGTTTATTTTTAGAGTGTTTGGAATTGCCAATATTTCTCATTTGCGACGTTTTTGCAAGTTGCCAGTACTTATTGGATTAAACAGAGATAAATGTTTTTTTCACGAGCATCATGCCTCTTCATTACCATCCTCGTCAACGCCATGTTTCAAATACATGTAAATTAATTAACCCTAAGCCTTTGTGTGTGTGTGTTGTTGTTGTTTTTATTTCAATGTTTTGTTTTGTTTCTTGGTTTGTTTGCGAGACAAACTGCCCGTGTTGTTGTGGTTGTTGTTGTTGCTGCGGGAAGATTTTTATCTGGTTTACATTTGAAGAAGTCAAATGTAGTACAGGAGACGTCTATTTCTAGAGAAAATCAGGGTGCATACTTGCCTTTAACTTACAACAGCACTAGTAGAATATCTCCTCTTAGAAAATGGTGAAATGGTAAAGGTTTAACACTATTAGGTTACTCAAGAGGCGGGACCTCCGAGTTTAACGCCGATCTCCGAAAGGACCGAGCAAAGTGGGAAATTCGTGAAAGTGCCTTTCCCAAGGACAACGTCGAACCCCGAACTCGCAATCTCACGGAGTCCAGAAACCTAACCACTAGGCCACCGAAGCAACTAATACCTCTATGAAATCAATCAAGTGAAAGAAACAACTATAAAGTCATTTACAATATGTATCTTTACAGAAGCAAATCGAGTTAAAAACTAGCGAGTCCATATTTTTTAAAATAACTAAATGTAGGTACATTTGTGTTTTCTCTTGAAGTAACACCTCTATTCTTCACACTAATGTATGAAGAATGACTTATTTGTAGTACAAGTGCCGTAAAACTCTTCCTAAATCGAAACTACCCCCCACCCCCACACACAACTACCCTTCTCACCAGGAGCAAATACTCGAGTTTTGATAGACTGTACACCGACACATCATTTGGGAAGCGGGCTGCTTCAATGGAAGGGCCGAGTTTACAGAGATCATACAGCACCCCAGCAGAAAGATGAAGATACGTCATAAAACTAAAACAGATGTCCCCACCATGTGGTTTGCATGTGGGGAGAATTTTTATCGAGTATCTCGGTCTTTCTACTTGGACGTTGTACCTCTCTCAGCTCGGGTTGGCTCTGTCAGGAAGGGTGGAAGTCCGCCTCTTAAATAATCGAACCTGTGTCTATGATATTGTAAAACCACCTACCTTAACTCTCAGAAGTCGTTGCGTCTACTGGCAAGTCACTACGTTTTTGTTGTTTTTGCTTTTGTTTGTTGTTGTAGTTTGGGGTGGGTTTTTTTCATTCATCATAGATATCGCTTTCCTGTACGATAAATGCATCCTCCTAACTCCTACTATCAAATAATTTATTCTCTTCGTGGTATTTTGGTAAGAAATACGAGCGCATAGCTTGAAACACAAACTATTTATGAAGGAAATGGTAAGGTAAACATTTTATTTTCCACCAAGCTTGCTGCCACAAAATAGGGAAGAGGCTTACGACTTGTAAGAGTTATTAAAAACAAAACAAAACCAAACAGAAAATTCACAGACAATGGTTTGAACAGTTACACCCTGCAAAATTCTCGCTATAATACGATAAATGCCTGTGTTATTCTACTGAAGAGAGATGATTATACCCTCGCCCCAGCACAAAGACAGACTCAAGTTTTTATCTCAATGTAATTATGTGTATTTAACGACGTGATCAACAGCAATGTGTGTCTTGTCAATACATGCCAGGTCTTTCATCAGAAGGGATGGTGTTCTAGTGTGTCTGAACAAACCAAATAAATCATGATAATGTCAGTGATTGTTCAAAGGAGTTGTGATTTCACAGAAAGATAAGCATTAATCATAGCGGCGCACTGAAATTACATGTATGTATATTCATAGCGCCACAACTAAAAGTGTAAACTTTCTTCGTAAGTGGTTACACTGCAATTTGTAGGCTTAAAAAAACGTTTTCGCTAGAGAGGATTAATTACTTTTATTCATCGACCTGTATTTAGTTAATGCATTAACACAGGGGGGAGGGGGGGGGGGGGA